TAAATATAAGGAGACTTTTATTGTTTAATTTATTTTTTGCACATAAACTTGTATCTTGAACTTCTTTTTCCAAAAAGTGAGGATGTCAAAATTTCAATAGATATCGGATGTACGGTAATTTTCCAAAGAGATCTCCTAATAGATAAGTTCATGAAAATTGTTCCAAACGAAAACTTAAAATTGATAAAAAAAAAATAATAACTAAATTTAACTAATTTATATTAGAGGTTTGAAGTTTATCCCACTGTAAGTATGAAATCTTCAGCTATGTGTTTCCATTGTCACTTTTTCGTAGCCATATCAACAGCCTGACAATTAAGAAGATTGTGACGTTTCATGCTACCATACGCAATATCTTAAATCCTTCAAATTTTATTATTAACCTTTTGTTTGTTAAAAACATTTTCTTCTTAGATTCGAAACTTGATCAAGCAAAATTGCCTTTGTTTTTGACTAAGAGATGCTCAATAAGCTCAGAATTGTAGTTCTCATTTGCGTACATAACAATGAATTATTAATTTTTGTTTCACACCAACTCCAATATTGAATAGTAAAATATATTTTAATCTTACCCAAATAAACAACGATTTAGTTCAATGGTCAATCACATATAGAGTATAGGGTGGTAATGTGTTAAAGTTTTAAAGTTTTTAAACGTAAAATGACGGCTAATACCTTTTTAAGCGTTTTGTAATTTAACCAAAACTCATTAGCATCCACTCAAGCAAGGAATTATTTACTTTTCAACATGCATTAGCAGAGTGCACTTCTCTTTTGCTTAGAATGTGGTTGTCAAACACACTACATCGGATCTTTTGACAGATTTACCAGAATTTTCCAGCAGGTAGCTTCTGACAAAGAGATGACCTTACGTACTCTCTTATTTGTCCTCTCAGTTGCCAGAAAACCAAGTACGATTTCCGGTAAAATCTGGAAATTCTGGTAAAAAATGGTAATTTCGGACTCATGCGGGTTCACAACTAAATAATATTGGGAATACTTTTGAGGTGTTTGAAGAGGGTTGCGACCTGTTTGAAACTAAATTTATTTATAATAATCATATTTTGGCCTTGCCACTTTTGCTAAGTTTCGGCCGAGCTTCTCCTCCGATTTGTAGCGTGCGCCTTTGCTGTCACACAAATGGGAGGGACCTACAAACTTACGCCGACGCCGAACGGCGATACAATTTTTATGATGAGCTATTTTTTTATTAAAGACACTAAGATTTTTAAAATATTTTCAATAAAATTTTATCAACCTAAATGTAAAGCTTATGCGAAGTAGTTATCTAATTTAATGAAAATTTTAAACATTTTGAAGATAAAACATGAATTATATTTAAAACGTAAATGTTAATACAACTGTTTTATATATAATCCCAAACATATGATATAAAATCCCCTCTACCAAAAAACTTAAATTGGGTAACGCCGGTTTGAATTTTTACAATTGAGCAATTGTCAAAAATCTTCCTTTTTATCAAAAAGTTATTTACCAGGGTGTCTTTGAACTAATGATTGGTACTGAGTTAAAGAATGCACACACATAAAAGATTGCAGCCTTTTCAATACTCATTCAGTGTTAAACCTTTTTTTGATTGGGCATTGGTTTTTTCAATCTTGCTATGAATATGTTGATGTGTGAATTCATAACTGCTTTGAGAGAATGGAAAATTCAAAAATTTTAAACCTCAATCCTAAGCGAAGAATAAGTAATGAAAACTGGATAGAAAAAAATTGTTGATTTAAAATTGAAAATGATTTCACACTTACACAGCTCTGATAAGTACATACATGTTAAAAAGATTATAAAAGATTTACAGTTGCGCTCTGAAACTTAAACGAACTCGAAAATTAAATTCACAAGCCTTCTGCGCTTTTGTGGCATGCATTCAAAGCTGATTCATTTAGCAGCTTGCGATTTTGTGCCTTCATTTTTAGTACATTTGTAAATGAATGCTAATTAGTATCTTTTTCCACGTCAACATAAAAAAATACAAATACATACTGGAACAGAAGAAGGAAAACGAAAAGGAATTCGAGCGGCAACATTTTAAATAATTTGGTCTAATTGATAACCCGGTCGGAAATGAGTTTCAGTTTCGTTCAAGCTCTGTTCCGGATTTAAATTTATTGTCTAGACTTTGCAAATTCTTTTTAAAAATTTATCAATAGGAAAACGACGTAAATTTTTGGCATAGTTCGGGCTTTATATTTATCATTTATACATACACTGCCGGTAAAAAGCATTCGCACTGCGAATTTTTCACAATATATGCAACAATTTGTATTCTAATATTTTTTTCCAATTTTTTTTTTTAAATAGGATTCATTCTACAACAAAAAAACATAATTTCTCAACTTTTTAATCAGATTTTTTGAGTATGCAGATTTGTAGCCTAATTGAAGTTGTCGCGGCCTAATCGCCACTTTTTTCTACAGCAGCAATACTTTCGACCGAATGATCTGTACGAAGACGCACAGGCGTTGTCGTCACGTTTTGCAGCGACCCAGTTTCTTTGAATTTCGGCACCAACGGATGTTGGTTGACTCAGATGGCCGGTTATGTTGACCATTCTGGCAGAATGGCCATTTTTATAAAACATTTGGATCACTTTTACGCTTTGTTCAACTGAGTATCGCTCCATGGCTCCTGTAGTAACAATTTTCTGAAAAACAAAAAACACATCACACCGGTTACAATGGAATGACCCAAATGCTAATTTCAAATTTATTAGTGGGTATTAATATATATGCATTCTTTTCGAACAAGAATAGACATGTTCATGCAAACATAAGTATTCGGATTTCATTACAAAGTGCGATTTGTAAGTCTAGTCATATCTATATCGGTAGTAAGCGTCATTAAGTGTGCGCATCGAATGCTTTTTTATTTAAATATATTCCTATTGAGCAACATTTCCATAACTAATATTACTCCTACTGAACCCTAAATTAGCAGTCACGGTGGTTAGGGTGCACGCATAAAAAATGTGAATATGAACGTGTATATTTCTCATCCAACAAAAACTAAAACGAAAGGATGTGAGCGATATCAGTCAACCATCTTTAAGTGATGAACTGCAGATACTGAAGCCTAATCACTTCCTAGCGCCTCAAATACCGCGGCTATTCTATTCAACAAATACACAAAGCTGGGGAAACTCCACGCGGACTTAAAAAGAGACCACCTAGAGATCCTATCAGTTTTTGCTTAAGAGCCGTGCTCCGCCGGTGAACGCTGTTCACAAGACTCCGTGTATCCGGATCGTCGAGTTGAATGGGCTTTCTACAAAGAGGTGTTTGGTGTCGTGTTGCCACTAACCGCTTGCTGGACTAACTGAAGAAATAACTATTGAGGTGGCTGCACAAGCCCGACATCGGTTCAGCCAAGGGGCACCGAATCCGTCGCTGTAATTCTACTTCGTCTTTGTTGATGGGCGACCCTACCGTGTCGCATGCTCAGGCTGATTCGCACTGCACCGAGTCCCTTCTTAAGTGTTTACCTTCGATTACTTACGAAGCCGAGGAAATACTTCGAAAGCACCGCCCACATATAAAATTTGGGGCGGAAGGAGTTTGGTAATGTAAAGACGAAACAGCATCTGGGTGAGGGTGCGGCCTTGGGATGCTTTCGGATAATTTGTATCCTACTTAGTTTGGCAGTGCATTTTATGTATCCCACTTTCGTCTTCTGAAAGTTACGATTCTGTAAAGTCATAAAAAAACGCAGCTTCCGTGTCACAGTAATTCTGGTTCGAACTCAAAGAAGAGAGCTAGTTCGAAGAGTTAGCCGTTTACTTTTGATTGGTAAAAAGAAGCCGTAAAAGTTTTCTTGCGGTCTATTGGTGCTAAACAGAATGGGAAACCTTTCAACAGATCCAAAGGTACTAAAACGATTCTCCCGCAAGGTTGATTACGATTCAGACCACGAATTATAGCATTGGTGGTGTGAAAACCATGCTGACTTTCGCATGGAACACATTACTCGCGTAAGACGCAAGTCCAATACTGAGAAAAGCAGAATTTGCGACCGACAATACTAAAAAGGCTTCGTTCCCACGACAGTCGAGTCTACGTTACCGCAACGACCCAAGGACTATTGTTGTTGTAGCGGCACTACTAAGACCCGCTTGGGTCAGCTTGTCCATATATCGTTGTCGTCAAGCTTAACTAACGGTAGGCCCAAGAAAAGCGCTATTTCGACGGGCTCGGACCAAAGGGAGAGGGGTGTTAACTGAGTGGCATTGAGCTGACATGTGAAGAGGTGTAAGTGTCGTGGGTGGAGTCTCTAAATGCCGCACACTCATTGCGGATATCGAGGTCGAGTCTGGACAAGTAGCTGGTGAGACGGCTACAATATCCTGACTGGGCGGGTTTTCGATACAGTGGAAGCTCAGAATCTGCATTAGGTGCTGATTAAGTTGCAATTATGGTATTCATAGGTCGAGACTCTATGAATGCCGTTGCTCACTAGTCGATACGTTGTTTTTGTAGCGGCTACAACAACCCCGCCCAGATAAGCTAGTCCCTCAATCGTTGTCGTCAAGCTCTACAATCGTAAGACCCAGGAAACGTGCAGCCTCGATGGGGCCTGTCCATAAGTACAGAGGCGTTAGTCGGGTGTGGTTCAGTGGGCATGCGAAGAGAAGCGTTGAGTCATGGGGCGCCTCTCCGCATGCCGGGCATTCATTTGGGACATCTGCATTTGTTCTGCTCAGCTATGAATTCATCCTGCTACAGCGGCAAAAGCGAAATTGGGCTATTGTGGTTCGAGTCTCCAGAGGCCGGCGAAGCTCTGTCTCGTTCACGTCTGGTGGTTGTGTGCCCGGAACGGCATTCACAAGTCGAGAGTCTACATAACTCGAGACTGGCTATCTGTGAATGCCGTTCAAGGCCTGTCGGTAAGCTGTCGGTCCAGAGGTTGTTTTATGAACGTCTGGACTTCGTCCGTCAGTTCATAGATGCCTTGCTGTTGCGGCTCTGTACCTTATTGACCTGTCACTGCAGATGCTTCCGCAAAAGCTCTTTGGGGAGTTTTTATGCAGGTACAACTCAGAAGGGTGCAAACCTACGGCAGGGTCTACCCCCAGATTGGAAGGGAAAAGCCGGCTGTCGGGGAATGTCCAACTTTTAAAGCGAAAGGCTGCATTCAAAGCGTTTAACGCCTTTTCAGCCACGTTTCTTCACTAGGCCATCAAAAAATCAAATTGCAGTAGTCCATCATTTGATCCAGAACAATATGGGCAAGTTTTTCGGTGTGCGGCTGTGTTTTAACTTTGTTTAAAAGATCGAGCTGGCTGTTTTAAACTAAGATTAGCCAATCAAATGTCAGCCAGCTGTTCAAAACAAACGCAGTAATATAAGTTAAAGTGGCCTCAGGTGATTTAAAAAGACAGTGGTCCACTTTCGAACTTATTAAGCCGACCGTAACTTCAAAAATATTACCTACTGTAATTTGGATGTCAACGTGTAATTTTCTTACTAGGAAGCCCCCAAGAATCTGCTACAACAAATTTTTAGTACATTATCGATCAAAACGTACATACAATAAAAAACGTTAATGAAAAAAATTTGTAAAAAATTATTTTCTATCGCTAAAAAAATTGTAAAACAAATTTAAAAAAAACAAAGATGTCAAAATTCTGCGGTGTAATTTCTAAGCGTCTAAATTCCGAAGCGTTGGAGCCCATGCGTTTCAGTCATCTAGAAATGCTCATTCACTGGCTCGCCAGTGAGACTGAATCGCTGGAATCAGATTTTCTAACAAAAAGTGAAGCGGTGCAAGAACAACAGCTGCAAGTGATACAGAATGAAAATAAAGTAAATTAAGCAAAATCGATTTTTTTTACTCTACATTCTAATAGTTGATTTCCACCAACCCTTAACTGCAGTTTATGCCGCTTGAAAAACGGATATTACAACTACTTATTTAGTAGAAGCAAACGAAAGGAAAAAAGCAAAACCTTTCCGATCACCCCACGTTGGAATTATTTTAATTTTTCTGAGCTCTTAACTGCAGATAAGCCTTTGGTGGAAATAGGCTATAACTCGCACACTCCTCCACTCTTCTGCAGCTCAATGGCATTCATGAAATAATGCAGACGCTTAAACAAAAAGTAGCCGCCACGGAGCAGGAGCTGCAAGTGAACGGCGCGAGTATAAAAATGCTTGAGAGCAATATCAAAGCCCTGGAGGATTATGCAAAGCGACCATTGACACCAGCTGGCATCACCTGCGGTTGTCCACTCGTTTGTCAGCAGCATCAACAACACAATATGTTGAATCTGTTGCAGGACACCGATCACACCATCAACCAAATGAATACGCTAATGAACGAGATGCATGAACTGGAGCCAAATATGGAGCAAATGAGTAATCCGTATCATACAGTACGTCACGAGTTTTTCGATGCACATTCTTTTAATGCCCAAATGGCCAATGATGAAATGTTTACTCTTTAGATAAGCAGCATTCTGGACTGTCATGTGTCGACTTTGAAACAGACTGAAAAGAATCTGGATCGTTTAGTGGATAAGTTGAATGCGGTCGATGGGATGTTTCAGTTGGCGATGCGTGAGTGGAGAAATATTTTCCAAAACTGTGATATTAATAAAGACGCATCTTAATTATACAAACTATTTTAGTAAGAATTTTAATATTGTATCGCAACTGGTCTAGCGCAATTAGTTCTAATATCGTTTTAAATACTCACTAGATGTATTACAAATGTATTTTAATTTGCAGGACATCTTGCCGCTTCACGACAGAACCGATAACAATCTGCGCCGCCGAACTTTAGCAAAGCAATTGGTGGGTGCCTCAGCAATATGCGAGTTTAAAATTCGAATATAATCCTTTCAAGTGCATAACAAATTTTTTTGTACATAAGTATGTATGTATATTGTATACACATTTTCGGTAATTTGCAAATTTCAATTCACTTTCGAACTTAACAAATAATGCATTTTCTGTGATAATTAAAATAACTGAATTTTAAAAATGAATGTAGTAAATCAATTACTTCTCACAACAAAGTGTCGAGAAAATGGTTAATTGCGGTGATTCCTATATACTAATTGAAATTATTTAGTTATTAAAACTTTACAAAATTAAGCTTAGAATGTGTTATAGTTACATAAGAATAGTGTATGAAACGCTTAAAAATATGTAACTTATCTACACAAAAATATAATCACGCCTCAGTTCGGAAGAAAATTACATCATCAGCTATTATGCTAGTGGTAGTCTTTTGATTGCCTGACTGGTCGGTAATTTCACCATAGGTGATTTTTCCTTGCACCATTGTACGTTGACCTTTTTTCAGATGCTGCATGACGGTATCACGTAAAGCTGGTTTGAAAACCACTACGCGATGCCATTCGGTACGTTGTGCCCAATCACCATTTTCGTACCTGTAGAACGCGTAAAAAGTGGGTAAGAAGCAATTTTTAACACTATAGCTGCGACCGCAAGTACCACGGAGCCTAGGCCCTAAATTGTATCCACATAGATTAATAGAAAGCTTTATAAATTTAGGCGGAAAATTTGAGAAAGCGGCTTTGGTACTCTGCAGCAACAGCATTTAGATGTTAATATGTTACCTGTAATTAGCATGCGTCGCCACAGAAAACATTACAACCGGGTGCTCTACGGAACCCCGCATTTGCGGATCAGCGCCAACTCGGCCCAGAATGGTGACATTGTTAACAGCTGTATTAATAGATATACATTTACCATAAGTGGGTTATAAATTTGAGTTACCTTAGTAGACATACTTTTTTCTACGCGCTGCGGAGCCTCTGTTGCGGCACAACGTGCTGCATGTGCCAAAGCCATGCGGATTGGGGAAATTAACTGTAAGCAAATGGATATCATGGTACTAAATAACATTGTAAGAAAACATAAATATTATTATCTTACCGAACGTGCACTTTGTGTCAACATTGTTTACTGAAGTCGTCGATTTTAACAAAAAGAATTTATCAAAATATGCTTTGAAGAAGGTTAAAAACTCAGTATATCCAGTAAAAAAACTGTGGTGAAGTCCTTTATGGGGATAAAGTTTCCAGAGGTGAAATTTTAGGTAGCACACAATTTCTTACACGCATGGTTGCTTTTCAGCACTCATGAAAGAAACTTAAGAAATATTTGAAAAAAAAGTTCATATAGTACATTAATTTTGAAAGAAATACCATATAATGTATGTACTCTGGTTAATAATATCAAAAAATGTATTAGAACCACCGTTTAATGTTATATTTGATACAAATTAATATTGCTGCCCCGAACGCTCTGCGCCTTGCCACTGAATAATAGATTTACTTAAAATTACATCCCTGGTCCTTGTTCTTTCTGTATCGCATCGTGGTGAATTCACATTTCTCAGAAATTTGACAACAAAACAAAACAAAGCGAGTATTTTATTTGCTAATTTTTGCGATTTCTATTGTTTAATGTAAATTTGTCTTTTTAGGATATGTCGAGCCAACAAAGAAGGCGCAGTTGGAAAATTGAGTAATTAGTAATGAAGTAGCAGGCATATTTGGAAAATTATGCCGATAAGCAGGATGGAATTTGGGAAAGTAAGTGCATGGTTGCAGCATATCTATGTATAAAAAGTATTTAATTAAATTGTTTATAGAAATGTTATAAATCGAGTGGCTCATTTACGATGTGCTCCAAACATTTGGCGAACTTTTTTTCGCCTTTTCAACGTGCTAAGTAACAAGTTAAGATGACTGCCATCACGGCCGGTAAGAAACCGCAAGCAAAGGGCAGACAACCTTCCAGGAAGCTGCCTCCTGTCCCCGAGCCGAAGCTGCAGTTCAGCAAGAGCAGGTCAGCAAATTGCTACCCTGATCAAACGTAAACTAAAGCGCTCTGCTGTGATTGCACTCCGTAAATGTGAAAACTTGGTGCATGCTGAGAAATATCAAACAAGAAAACTCCGTGATGGACGCCGTGAGATGGAGTAACGCTGTGTGGCAAAGAAATGCGGCCAATTCGACGGGCCTGAAAAATCCAAATTGGCTTTTGTGATCCGCATCCGCGGTATCAACAAAGTTGCACAAAAAGTGCGTAGTTTTACAGTTCTGTCTTCGCCACATTAAAACGGTGTGTTCATCAAATTGAGCAAGGCAACCATTAATATGCTACGTATGCCGAACCCCCTATATGGGGTTATCCAAATCTTAAATCAGTTTGTGAATTGATGTACAAACGTGGAATGGTCAAGCGTGTCCCAATCTCTGCTTTGTGATCGAACGCAAATTTCGCGAAGCGCACGAAATTCAGTGCGTTGATTCACTTCACTTCAAGAAAGCCCCCAACTTCCTGTTGCTATTCAAGCTCAACACATCAACCCGAGGCTGGCGCAAGAAGGCTAATCACTACGTTGAGGTTGGTGATTTCGGTAGCCGTGAGGATAAGATCAACAAATTGCTGCACAAGATGGCTTAAAGAAATTGTTGTTTTGTATTTAAGTAGACAATATAATTTGGCACATCTTCAAAAGACGCCCAAAAAAAAAAAAAAAAGAAAATTAAAAAATTCCTGAAGTTGCCTTTTCACGGGTCGATTTCTGTCGACTGGAAAATTTACTTAAGATATCGACTAGCCAAAACGCTTACATTTTACGGTTGAATTGCAATTTACACGGGTAGATTTTGGTTAAACGACAAAAATCGACCGTGTAAAGGCAGCTTAAATAACGTTCAAATTAATCACCCCCTTTGAGATGGAAAATACCAATAACCATTTCATAATTTCGAAAATTATTCCATTTATATTTGTTCTTGCATTTTCCACACCACTTGTGAGGTATGCTTTTACGCGCGTTACCGATTTTTTTTTAATGTGCTCGGTTGCCCAGGAGGCCTATTTTCACCTTTACAACTTAACTTAAACAGAATTAAAACTAAAGCATGCAATATATAAAGAAAATTAAAAGTTGTCTTACATCTAGTAAACTTAAAAAATTGCACATTAAATTCATTTTTCATTATAAAATAAAATTAAATATCACAATTCAGTTTACAAAATGTGGTCTGTTTGCACCCACAGTAAGTTCCCATGAAGCCTAGCCTAAATTCAGAATTGAAAAAAAAACGAGCAAATGGGGTCGGAAACTACTAGCCCTAAAAGCATAATGTGGAAAATGTTTGAAGAGCTGCGAAATTGTATTGCAATAATAAAAATAACAGTGCATAAATTGGAAAAAATGGTTTTTGTTTTGCTTTATAATTTTTGGGAATATTGGTTCAGATGGAATTTTTTTATTTGTTTGGTTTTTCAGCTCGTTAATGATGCACCCAGGGTTGCATTTACTGTCTATGAAAATATTTCGTGAAGCGTTCCAAAATTAGCTCCGAGCAACTAAAAGTTGGTTAAGCTTAAATGAAATAGTTTTTTATTAAATATTTATTCCTGGTATTTAGTAAAAAACATCAATACTAATGTATGAAAAACAAAACACCAATGCTAATGTATGAAATGAAGTAAATAAAAATCTACGAATACATTCCATGAATATTTTGTCATAGAGCCATTATTAAATTTAGACATAACTTTGTCAGGCGTTGGTACCTACGTATATAGAATTAATGCGTTGGAGAGAGATAAATATACAAGTTCAACGCGCTAATTTAGGTATCCTTGTATGTATATACCTGTTACTCGTCTGGCATATACTCCAACTGCGAAAATAATGACAATTATAATTTATGTAGATCCCTGGATAAAAGATTGTCACAAGTTACTTTCGGTAACTCACGATTGAAGTTTGGAATGGAATTTCTCAGAAACACGACTACAGATTTTCTCCAAAGTGTCGGAGAATGCTATGTACTAGTTCATGAAATTCTTAAATTATCTTATTTTTTTTAGTTTAGTGTCAACCATTTATGAGTTTAATAAAATTTTGTCGTATACGACATTTGTCAAAAAATTTGCAGTCAGTTTTAGTGATATACGCCAAAATGTGATAACAATTTTTATAAATTAACCATACTTTTTACTAATCAGCCTAATCGTGAGTTTCGCCCGAACAAAATTTCGGCAACAATTTTTTCATCCACCTGTAGTGAACACACGCAAACGAAAAGTGACCCGGTTCTAGAAAATGAAACTCATGATAAAGCTGAATATGTCGGAAACTAAAGAAGAACAGATAACTCTATTTAAAAGATCTTGATTAGTTTAGTACGACAGCAATACTAACGCAATTTGTACCAAATAACCGAAAAAATTTTAGTCAATTAGTCGGAAACTAAAGAAGATATCCAAAAACCACAAATTGTCAAAATGACGCTTCCGGCAATTTTCCATCCAGGCGACGATATTTGAATAGGTTTGTATAGTTACCAATAGTCAGTACTAATTTGTACTGGAACCTGCAAACTTTTACTGGAAAAGTGTATGATAACCCAAAAAATTTGCAAGAGAGCACTGAATCGAGAGCATAACAACACGAGAGAGCTGCAAATTCTTGCTAGTGAAATTTTTACTAGCAGAAATTAGCTAGCAGAAGAAGAAGAAGAATAAATGTCAAAAGAATATATAAAAAGTGGTGTTACTAGCTCAGTTGATTTTGTGTATGTGTTTCGCCGCACGGCTTCTGATATCAAATTGAAAAATTTTGTTTGAATTTCTACACACACTTACAGGTTTTGACAGTTTATGCCGCCAAAGCAAAAACAAAATACATGTAAATTTTTGTTTTTGTACTCCTGCTATCACCTTATATTGATTCGCCTTGGCACAAACAAAAGTAAAATGAGTGGAAATCATAATATTAATGATGTACTGGACAGTGTAAGTGCTTGTGTGTAAAGCAAAGAGTTTAAAACTGATTTATAAATAGTAAAATGTTTACAGCAGACTGTCAAAGCAGTGCAACAACTGTTCTCTTGCAAGTTTTTGCTAGTTTTGTGTTCAATAACCTCTTCTGCTAGTTTTCTCTTCTTCTCAATTTTACGCTCTATTTTGCTTTTACGCTCTCGCTGCAATGTTTTACTGGAGAAGTTACTATACAAACCTAATGTTACTCGCATATTTTCGAGCCTGTATGTAAATTTTCGGGAAAAAGGTTAATAAGTATATTCATCTGCTGAAAAGATATTTTCGCAGATTCACAATTTATTTAAAATAAATCTATTAGCCCAATCTCCAATTCCATGTGAATAAATCTCCCCAGTGCTTAAATAATTTTCCCCACATTAAATAGCTGCACAACACCCTAATTGCCGAAAAAACGTTGCTTGCAACACTAGTCCTTTATGGGGACCAAACTTGGCGAGAAAAAAATAGCTAAGTTTGTTTACTGGATATACTGAGGTTAAAAAACAGTGCCGGCAAATCAGCTGATTGTCAAATGGCTACCACAATGGCGGGCGCAAGTTTTGCGACATCTGCCGTGGGAAAGTAAGTGTTCATACAATATCGGCAGCAGATGTCTCTGGGCGAGGTAGCCCAGCACGAACACAATCGGATAAATTATATGAGTTCAAATAATTAAAATCTTTAGATTTACGTTGTTGGTTCTTCATACAAAATGAAAAATCAACTCGCATCCCCTCTGCTAAGTGCTGATCAGTTTTTTGTTTTTCTTTTCATTTTCTGTTTTTATTTGCATTTTGCTTTTCACTATGGCAAATCTCGTGGAAGTGTGAAGGAATTGAAAATCTTTGCCGTGGTGGCAGCCGGCATTTCGTCGACGAGTGGTATATTTCCCCGACGACAACTCAAAATTTCTGAAGAACAAAAACGGTCGCTGGAAATGCGGCTTCTCATTTATATACGTTCTCTGTTTTATATACGTTCTCTGCCGGAGGTACAGGGTGAGAACCCGTGTTTAGCACCCTGTACTTCCTGTAGTCCATTACAATGTATTCCGGTAGTGCATTCCAGAATTCAGCGAAATTTTGACAGTTGTCAAATTGACGTTCGTGCCTCGTCGTGCAGTAAATTGGCCGAAGTATAAACGCATTTTAAACGAAGCGTATTGCAGAAGTAAAAAAGTTAACTTCACTGTGAAAAGAAATTGTAAGCTTATTGTGCGTTAGTACGAGCGTAAAAATATTCATATATAATTTACACAAACGCAAAAACGAAAGCTAAATTTTAACGCGATTACGGCAGCATCGTGTGTGCATGTGGAAAGCATTGTAATTGCATAAAAAACCAAAGTGCCGAAGTGTGCAACGTTTCTTTGACTTTGTGTTTTTGGCATACGGAAATCGGAACTCTTTTTTTTAAGATTCGTTAAATCAACTAATTAAAGCTTAAAGCAACTCCTGTGGAAGTTGTAAAATACGTATATACGTAAAAAGATTGAAAGCGTGCTCGCAAAGCGCTGCGCGGATCCATCATAGTACGCATCATCGTTGTGGACCGAATCGACCAAGGCAGAAGAAACAGCAGTGGAGCAAGAATTGACAGCGCGGAGCAACTAAAAGGGGCGCGAGCGAAAGTGCCACTTGTCCACTAATTGTTGTGCAGTCGATAGTAGCAGCACAACGAACAACATGAATACCAACAGCAATAAACGCAAGAACCGCCCCGGTGGCGTATCAAGGTAATTGGATACTATATGTATTTATTATTTATTATCCATACCCTTAAATATTAACGGCAGTGAATGCAACTTATATAACAGTTAAGAGTTCCGGGTATCCATGTGCTCTTCATCACAGCCATGGGACGGACATACGTATGTAATGCATAGTTGTTTACATTCCATTGCCATTCAATAAAAAAAATCACAGAAAATGCTTAAATATATATTTAAATGGACCCAGCTCTGTGACGGTAAAGATATGTCATGGCTTTATCATGTGATTCATAATTCTGCAAATGTAAATACCGTACGCGGGACTTCAGCACAGCGGCATGCAAGTTAGCATCCAATCGACCTACCCATTTCTGGCGAATGCCATAATTTTTTCATCTTATTTTGATTTGCCAAACGGCGAGGTCATTGGCTTTGTCCAAATATGCCGCTGTGTTGTTGGTAATTAACAAAATTCAATAAACCGCCGAGAGAAAAGATGAAGCGAACGAATTCTTGATTTCCTGCATGTTGGTTACGAAATTCTTCGATTGCGTAGCCACTGTCGCGGTTTTACGCGTAAAGCTTGTTATTGTAGACACACAGCCGAACACTAAATAGGTACATATAGGCAAAAAGTCACGCCAATGAATTAGAAAGTGCGTTGACTTTTATTATTATTTTTGCAACGTATTTGTTAATGTGTACAATGATTGGCAAGTATTGTTTGATTACATATTTCAGTGTTTTAGGTTAGGTGTCTGTGTTGGTCATGTTTTGCAGAAAGCTTAACCTTAAGATTCCAAAGCAAATGGAAATAAGTGTTAAAATGACTTGAATAGAAGTAAATGAATAACTAGAGCCATAAGTGGCACAGTTAACTGCATAGGTAAAAAATTACAATATAAGGAGTGTGTCCGTTTTTACTTTCTAGTTTTTAGTTTAATTTCAGGTCATTTGATAACCGCTGGTTAATTCTAAATGCTTTCATAATAATTAAATTTCACAGATATTTACCTTTCCTTATCGGATGTTGTTGTTGTAGCAGCATATAAATTCCCCAAAGATTTTTTGGGGAGTGTTGCTGGAGTGACAGTCCTTGGCCAAATATAAATCTGGGTCGTTCCGGTTACGTAGACCCGACTGTCGTGGGAACGTGTCCTTATCGGATAACCTCAGTTGGTTAGGCTTATATTCCCCAAAGCTTTTATCTAGTATAGCCAGGTGTTTGTATATGTAGATGTCGTGTCTTGTAAGTACTACGTGAAAGTATATAATAAAATGTACCTATTAGAATTTGCATTTTATGAGCGAAAAACGATTTTAGCTTCCCAGCAGTATGATATTTTCTACAAGGATTCGCATTGTTATTGTAAATCTTAGAAAATGTCCATCAAATTTTGTCAATTCTGTTGAAGTGATATACATATTAAGTCTGTTGAAAGGAAGCTGTTCCCGTAATTCACCTTACCCGCAAAACCTACCAATCTTGGAGTACTTATGTATCTGGAACAGGCAAATGAAAATCTGGGTCTGTCGGGTTATGCATAGAGTCATAAAAACATAACCTTTATAAAAAAGTGTTAGACAGTTAGGTTTTCATTATAACTTCACCAAAGTTTATAATTGCCTCTTCCTGTTCCAGATATGTGACCGACAATCGGCAGCAACAACACCAACACCAACACCAACAGCAGTCCAACAAAGGGCGGACACAAGCGCAAGGCGTCTATAAAAATACGCATTTCATACATGCCGCCACAGCGTTAGTGGGCAGCCTTGTACAGGTGCGTCTGCGTTCGGGTAATATTTACGAGGGCGTCTTTCACACATTCTCGCCTAGTTTTGATGTGGCACTCGAGCTGCCTTTATGTATTAAAACTAATAAAAATGAAGATGAGGGTAAACATGTGCCGAATCATATGATTTTCCCCTGTGACACTGTAGTGAGCATTTCAGCGAAAGATTTTGATTCACGATATGCCACAACAAAAACATTCGCTACGGATGGCGCCATATCAGAAAAGTTCAATGGTAATATAATTGAATATAGTAGTTTTAATGAGTAGTGGTATATGAGTTTTCTTTCCAATGTCAGGCATACGATTCGAGGAGAAAGAGTTGGAGCCTTGGGATGCGTCTGGCATGAATGGCGATGTTGATATAGAATTGGATGGCGCGTCTAATGGTTGGGATCCCAATGACATGTTCCGCCAGAATGAGCATGTCTTTGGCGTTCAGTCTACATTTGACGACTCCTTGTCAACTTACACGGTGCAGCTTGATAAGGTCGACTCTGATGAGTTCAAGGAGGCAGAAGCGAAAGCAGAGAAATTGGCTGCTGAAATCGAAAATAATCCTATTTATCGTGAGCGTGTTGATTTAGAGAATGGGGATGAGGAAACTCTTTATGCTGCTGTCGAACGTCCCGGCAGCGAGGTGGAGCGCGAACGTGAACTTGAACGCGAACGTGAGCTAGAGCGTGAACGAGAGCGCGAACGAGACCGCGAGCTTGAGCGGGAAAAAGAACGTGAACGTGATCGAGAGCGGGAGCGAGAACGAGAACGGGATCGCGAGCGTGAGCGTGAACGGGAACAGCGAGATCGGGAACGAGATCGAGAGCGTGATGATCGTGAACGCAGTAAACGTGGTGGTGGTGGAGTTAATAGTGGTGGCGCCTATGAGCCACGGGAAGTCATGGCGGAGCGTTATATTACTAAACCGACGCGTAGCATCACCGGACCGCCACCGCCTGTTGCCATGGCATCAACAAATACAATAACAACTTCGTCAACGGCAGCGGTGTCGTCCCAAACTAGCGGCAATGGCCCAACACAACGCTCTCATATAGAACGTAGTGCTGGCGGTAACAGCAGTGTCGTTGGTGGCGATATGGTGGGTGGCGAACGCATTATGAATGCGCCGCCACCAACATCGTCAAATATAGGTCAACAACAGCAGCAGCTGCAGCAAACTAACTCAACTCAGCCGGCTGCTGGCGGTATGGCAGGTGGCATTAAGAGTACGACAGCGCCGCCGTTGGCTTCAAACACTGGCTTGAGCAGTGGATCGGACGGTGGCAACAAGTATGGCGGTGGTTCGATGATGAAACGCAAAACGGTGCCACAGGGCAAGCAAATGATGCGCAATACGTCAACCACAAACAATTCAAACACATCGTCAGGTGTGGGCAGTAGCAGTGGAAATATGACGCAAGGCAGCAGTGGCAATCAGTCAAGTGGAGGCAAAGGTGGCAATTACCAGCCGATGTCGATGCAAAATCAGTCGTCATATCAAAACTATTCGCAAATCATGCATGGGTACGGCATCACCGTTTCATTTTAATGCACGCTTAAGTCAGCGTTTTCCACATTGCAGGTCAAATCAATATCGCAATCAATCACATATGGGCGGACCGTCAAAGATAAATGGCGACTCTAATGCAAATCCAGGAAAACCAATGCCGCAGCGTGGTATGCGCCAGTACCAAGGTGGTCAATCAAATTCTTCGTTGAATTACAATGACTCACAGAATCAGGCAAGTGTTTTTGTTGTTATATAGGGTCATCCATCTAGGCCTTTTTTTAATTTTAAATTATGCACTTAAAACAGAACTAGGAGTCGTAAGTTTTTTAACACTCCTGAAAAAACAATCTCTGAATGTTTCTTTCGAATTTCGACCGTTTTTTAGTTTTTGAGATCCTTGAAATTTCTTCAAACTAAGCACGTCCTTAATTTACATATAATGTACAAAATTACTTACCGGAAAATCTCCTTGAAACTAAAACGTTATTATCAGTTTATAAGAGTGCGTTTCGAGGACTCTATAAATTTCGATAACTCAAAGATTGACATATCTCGATATAAATCGATATGTTGGTAACTCGATAAACTTTTGATAACTATGTATATATGTAAATTTCGATAACTCGACTGATTTTGATAGCTCCATAAATTTTCGTATCTATCGAGACAAATTTCGATACTTCGTTATACTCTGGTAACTCGATAGAATTTGATAAACCGATAAACTGTAAAAACTCTATATATGGAAGCCAACATTACTCGCGTAATTAGCGTAATGGTGGAAAGAGTAACTGAAAAGTGGACCTTACGAATGGACCACCTACAGCGTAGTCGCGGCCACAATTTGCATGAAATTAATTTAAAAAAGTAAATTTCGGAGACGGCTTTTTCGATAATAACAAAGATGCCCATATCCAGTTCTGTTTTAAGTTGTCTATTTGAAATTAATAAAAGGTGTAGATGGATCACACGTTACTTTCTTAATTAGACACGCTTTTTAATAATTTGTACTTGTAGATCTCTATGGGCAAAACTCACGGTCCACCACATGGCCAACAGCAGATCGGTGGACCAATGGTCGTGAACAATAGCACGTCACCACCCCTACAAACGGGCGGTGGTGGTCCTCATGGTCACGGACAGTCACAAAGCGGTGGTGTGGTTATGTCTGGCCCACCTAATCAGCCACCTCCACAGCCACAGCGACAAATGCGCAATCAGATGCAGGACTTGCGCCAGTTTGCACAAGATTTTCAGTTGGCAAACAGCGCATCAACATCTCCTCCACAACAACCACAACAATCACAGCTGCCGATACAGCAGCAACACCAACAGCAACAATCGCAACAGCACTTGAATATGGGTAAAGGCGGTGGACACCAACCACAGCCTTCGGTATCGCCGCCACAGCAGCAACAGCAGCCACAACAACAGCAAGTTGTTGTGCAGCAACAACAACAACAGCCACACATGAATATGCAGCATGTACAGCAGCAGCAGCATCACGGGCAGCATCACGCCCCTCCACCGCAGCAGCAGCAAGCGCATATACCACAACAGCAACAGCACTATGTGCCGTCGCATTTGGTGCAGCAGCAGCAGACACAACAGCAAGTGCAGCAGCACCTGCCAACGCAGCACGTGCATCAGCAGCAGCAGAAACCGCATTTGGACAGCGGTAACATGATGCATTTATCCAAACAGCACCAGCAACAACAGCCGCCACAACACCAACAGCAACAGCAACACCAACATCAGCAGCAGCCACCTTCGCAGCCGCCTACACCTTTGGCGCAGGAGCCGCCTCAGCAGCAAGTGCCACAACAAGGTATGTACCATGTACCGCCGCCGCAGCTGGCACCGCCGCAACAACAACAACCACCACAAATGCAGCCAACGTCGCCACCAGTGGTAGACACGCCGCCACAACAGCACCAACAGCCGCAACAAGCGGTGCAGCAGCTTAGTAAATTAGATACAACGCCAGTGACAACAGTCGCACCGGTGAGTGTCGCTGTGGCAAATACCGGTGGTGAAAAGGTGACCACGCCTCCGGGCACCGCTTTAGCATCGACTGCGACGAGCGGTACCAACACCACCGGCACGGCGACTGTTAAGAAGGCGCACGTGCTGAATCCGTCGGCAAAGCCGTTTACGCCACGCAGCCCCAGCACACCGAATCCTTCGCGGCCGCATACACCACAAACTCCAGTGCAGCTGCAAGGCATCTATACGACTGGGACGCATGTGCAAGCGGCTAGCCAGACGCCCATGTACGTCATGCAATCACAGCAGCCCGCATTCCAAGCGCCGACACATCCACAGACCGGCCAACAGCCACGAATGCGTAGAGGCAATTACGGTGAGTGTGCAATGAATTTGGTAGTGCGAATGTTTTTTATGTTTATATCGCATTTGTATACCCTTCAGGTCCGATGGCGGCATCGCAAACTCACGTTTCGGCCACAACGGCTACGGGACAGCCTTTGCTGGCAGCAGCGCCGATACAACAATTCATACATTATCAACAGACTCCACATGCGCCGCATTTCCAATCACAGCCCTATGTTAATGTGAGTATAATTGATCGCATTTAAATACAAGGAAATATTTTCATTTATTTTTTTACAAATTTCACTAATAGTCTATACATTTTCTACCCCAATTACAGGTGCGTATGTACGAACCACCGCCACAACAGTTGCAATTCATCACGCAAACGCCACCATCGACCACGCCTTCACCCGGCCAACCACATCAGACGTTCCATCCGCCACCACAGCCTTCTCCTGCGGGCGGTGGCCCACAGCCTACATTCGCCCCACAAACTCAACCCATGTATCCGGTCGTCTATCCCGTCTTACATCCAACACAGATCATGCCGAATCACTACTACTCGACGACGCCGCAACATCCACAACAAACTCAACCGTTTCAAATATTAATGCAACAACATCCGGCGCAATAAAAAGCATAAGCAATGTTGGGTAGCGGGTGAGCGACACGGTGAAAGATGAAATGCGGGAGTGCTGAAAACGTTTTGGTAGGGGACGAAATCGTGTTGTTGATGAAGAAGCGTACTAAAGTAGTATAGAAAGGAAATAGAAAACGGAATAGTTGGCGAATTATTTATGTTTTAAATGCCGCTAAGCAACATCAGTCAACAATAATAACAATAAAATCAATGCCTCAAGGTATTGATAAATGATGCAAATATGTTAAATGGAACTTTGTAAAAAATAATTCTCAGAAAAAGTTGTTTTGGAAGATAACTTAAGGAGAGATGTGAAAAAGATGAAATGCAAAAGCAGAAAAAGCGCTGAACGTTAGCCAAAGCCATATGATTTCCATATGTCTTGTCTACGCTTGCGTTGGTGCAAGTGTGCTAATGAAGTCTCTAGCCATTTAATTGTTTGGCGTAAATCCACTGGAAATGTTTAGTATATGTTTCGCAAAGCAGCTGGAACATTGGCAAACGCAACAGCTGTAAATTAAATATTTATTTAATTTAAATTGCAACCAAAAAATGTTTTGAGCAAATATTGGCAAAAGTGTGTGAAAGGCATGCAGGATTTTTAATGACAGATTGTCTAAACCTATTGTTATTGTTGTTGTCTTGGATGTTGCTGTAATGCTGCAAAAGCGGTTATCGGATATTGAACGCAAAAAGGCGTGAAATGAAGTCTAATAAATAAAATGAAATAAAACAAAGAAAATGCAAAAACAAAAACAAAATAAAATACCACAATTTAAGTTGCAAACCGAGTATGAAGAAAACAAAAAAGAAAAAACAAGAGCTACTAGAGCAAAAGAAACTTGTACACATTTGTGTGCATTGATTTATGCTGGCCCTCGGAAAAAATGCGAACAATCGCTGCGTTAAACGCCACCATATGTCATGTCATGCCATGCCACAACCACAACCACCTGAACATTCATACACGAGCGTATTTTCTTGCAAAAAAAAACGAGAAAGTGTACGTCTGCTGGTTTCGATGTTTAACCAGCAGCGATCATACATTTGCCTAATATTTTTAATTTATTTCATTCCTCACTAGCGTATGGTGTGGATTTTGTGTGCGGGTGGCAAAATTGTTAAAAACGTGCTTTTGTGGTATTTATAACTGTACTTTAAATTATGAATATTATTTTTTTGTTTGTTTTGAATGTTGTGTTTTTGTATCAAGCGACAAAAAGGAGTAGGAAAGTAAACAAACATAAAAAGAAAGCAAATTAGAAACAAATTTTGAGCATAATTTAGGATTATTGCGACGATTTCGATTATTTTGCATGCCACTAAAGCCTTTTGCGAATCATTCCACTTGAAATATGTATGTATGTATAAATCAAGTACTATCTACTATAAGTACTCAAACGCAAAGTAAATTTGTTGAATGCGCGAATAGCTTTTGTATTTCGAGCGAAAAAAGAAATTAAATTAAAATGAGAGCGTATTATTTTCTTAATCGAATGCTTTATAAACTAAAAAAAAATGGTAGCTTGAAATTAAAAAATAAAATTTTTTGCGAATTCATAGCCGCAAAATGACAGTTTCTTCTGGCTGACAAACTATGGCCTATTAGATCTTGCCAAAACTAAGGATACCTTAAAATTTCGGTTAATTGTAAAAGTAAAGTGTTTTGGAACCGTTTTATTTTACATAAAGCGATTGATTGTGCAAATTTTTGACTCAAAACTCAAATCATCCGTAAATCCCAAATTTTAGAGGGCTCACAATTAAGTTTTTAAAACAAAATTTGCAAAAAATTTTGGTTTGAATGCGCGGCCTTTGTTTTAAAAACCGCGAAAATATGCAAATTGTAGTCATATATTCGCCTAAAATATAACGCTTTATGAAAATACATTTACTCATTCGCGCATCCTCAAAGTGCTATATGTTAATATGTTTTTTCCTGCTTGAATATGTTTTTTGTTTTGACGCTGAAAATATCAATATTTTTGTTTTTTACCTTTTTGTCGGTATTTTTTTTAGTTTATTTTCGTTTGTTCCCTATTCCCCAATGTATCCCTAAATAAAACCCCCCC